AGATGGAATTTATTATGTTAGTTTTAGTCGGGTATTTGTGTATCATTTTATGCATGTTTGCGGGCTGATCAGCCACTTTTTAAGTTTCCCCTTTGTCTCGATTAGGTAGGTCGGTTTCTTTGTGTTAGTAGTACTGTTTTTTGCTCGCTGTTGAGTAGAGTTCTGTGATTTTGACCTCTTTTATGGGCCCAAGATTGAGATTTTTCTATCCAGTTTAACCAACTTAGTTTTGGGGTTAAATAAAAAACAAACTCTTTTTTGGACTTCAACCTGTGCCTGACTTTCCTTCACTGCTCGGTCCATCACAACAGTCTATTAAATGGGGGTGCCTAAAGAGCCAGTCGTTTCCTTTTTCTCTACTTCAGGGAGCAGTTTTCTACCTTTCAGTCTTACATGTTGCAGCCCTACGCCCCCCCCCCCCCCCCCCCCCCCCCACTCCCCACTCTGTCATACGACACATGACTTGCAAATAGGGATGGGTATTGTTTAGGTTTTATCTGATACCGGTGCCAAACCGGTACTTTTGAAACAGTGCTGTGCTTAAAGAATGGAGAACACAAACTTTGTCCAAAAACCTCTTATGTTTAGCTGTTTTTTTTGTAAAACGATAGCAATGTTAGCCTTTTCTGCAGCTATAGGGCATATATGGTATCACTCTTGGCTGGAAGCAGTGCTTAAACAATGGAAAAAAAACACAAACTTTGTCCAAAAACCTCTCATATTTAACTGTTTTCCACTTTTTCTTTGGTCATTTTAGCCTTTTTTGCAAGGGTGAAGGGAGTATCTGCCATCAAACAAGAAGACAGCTGCATGAAACTACGACGGTGTTTGCTAGTTCACCTTACATGCATTAATTTTATAACGCGGTTAGCCTACTCAACGTAAATTACACACCAATAACATTAAGCTACTCACTCAGAGAAGAATGGCTGCTGCTGCCATCATCATCCATCATCATTTCTGCTATACTGGCAGGACTAGGAGCCAGGACTCTCCTCTTCGGGTTCTTGGGG